TTATATATATTTGCCTGGGGTTGTTCTTTAACAGATAAACACACAATTGCAAGCACTAGCATTAAAGTGAATCTGTCAAATTTGAGGCAAGATCACCGACATGTGGAGGGTGCTTTGACATCATATAGACAGTCTTTACTTTTCAAAATAAATTCTGTCATTGAGTAATCATTTGTAGCACGTGTTATTTAAGTATCTGACACTTGTGCAGATAACAGTGTTTTAACCTGACTGAATGGGGTGGATCTCTCAGCTGCTCTGTGCCTGGATGATGAAGATAATTATTCAACACAGCAACATTCATAGTGAATTTATCACATTATTACATTACTCTAATAGGCTCAGCAAAAATAGGTTTCTGTTGAATTGCTGCAACTTCAAATACTCTTTTGTAGATGACAGATTCTCTTTAAAGCGTATCCCTTTACTGATGTATACCTAAATCCATGCAACTTCTTTTTTTAATGAAAACTTGACCTTACTCAGTTCTACATATTTAACAAAGAGCTTGACTTCTGGATTCTCAACACTCCACACAATAGTAGCTGATGTTTCCGCTGCAGTGATATTCTTGATCCTGACTGGCTGAGCTGAGCATCAAGTGAGAAAAAAAAATTAAAATGTGCACTAATTTCTACGCTTCATGCATGCATAGCTATGCAGTGCTCAATTTCTGGAGATAAGCCATAATCAAATGGGTCAAAACCAATTACTTCTACATATTTATTATTGTTATTCATTTAGAAGTCTTTTTCACTATTTGTCAAAAAAACACAACTGAATGTAACTTGTTTGAGCTGATGTGACCTAGCTTTATTAACTTTTTTAGCAGAACATTTCCGGTTATCTCCAAAAAATAAGTTATGTATCTACCAAGGGCTACATGCAAATGTCATGCCAGATCTATGTGCTGATGTGGAAGCTGAGCTAGAATATAGCCTTAAACTTTATTTTTCTTAACAAACACATAGGATAAATCTGCAGGCTAAAAATACTATACAGAAGATGGAGGTCAAGAGAAGAGTTGAAGAACTGTGTAATCAATTGAGACAAATGTGAGATCAGCTCAAAGCTTAAGAGAATTCCACCCTCTTGCTGTCAGAACTAGCACTGCTCTAGTTCAATATAAGCTCTTGAGCAGATCTAAGATGTATGCATCTCTGAAATGGAAACATACATACATCAAAGACTGCAATAAAATAATTATACTGCCAAGGTAGAATTGGGAGGAAATACTTGTAGAGACAGAAATGTCAGTTTGGAATTGATTAGCCTTTGAAGCCCAGAGCCCTTAGCAACCAGGCAGCTGCCCCATTATGCTCAACCACAATAAATCCTGGTGTGCACATGGGATGTCAGGAGGCAGTTACATGCTGGATCATGGAGAAGTACGAAACCTGCCTCCCTGTATCCCAAGTGCACACTAGGAGCAGGATTTCACCGTGCTAACCAATGGCTTAGTATATCCCAAGCTAGCTGATTCTAAACCAGCAGTTCTTAATGATTCCGTGTGCAGTGTGTAATTTGCCCTGGTCCTGTTATCTTTTTAAATGTTCACTTTCTATAATATGACTTTAAAATCCAATTATA